GCAGTCTCACTTAAACCAAGAAGCTAAAGAGAGACGTTTGAAGATTTGAAATAAAGGTGGTGAAAGGTGAAGGACCTTTGGGGGAGAGGAAAAGGACAAAAGTGTAATTTTGCTGTCTTTGGTAAGGGTTAAGGTCCCACATTTACACACTAATCATAATGTTTTTCTACTTTTTATTACAATAAGATTCCGCATCTTTGAGTGACACAAACACGACATATAAATATCCAATATATGATAAAATTTTGTAAAATGGTAACTGTAATAAGAATGTGATAACATCTATTAAAGTTGCAAAATTGTAACATTTTCTTAGGTTCATTTAGAGCTGAATTTGAAAGAATCATATTACTTCTTCTTTTAGCAACCTTAAAATCTTTGTATGTTTATATTGACACATGTGTGTGTATATATGTTTATGATAAATACACCCATATGTGTGTGTCAAATAGGTCTGACATCGTTTGTTTCTTTTTGTCGGTTTCCTCAAAGTTCAAACTCTTTTCTTGTTTTTACTCTTTTTCTTTGGATAAAATCATAAACAAATACTGTTTGAAAATCGGTTGAAATAGTATTATTGCTGAAGATTCAATTTCAGTATTGTGTAAACAAAAAATGAAGGAAAAAAAATTCATAAATAGTACACTTGATTCTGTGTCAAACAACTATTATGAATAAAACATTATCTTTTAAATAACAATAAATAAAAGTTTGACAAATAAAGCAAAGTTGCAAGTAAATTCAGTGCCACTGATAGTAAAGTAACAACTAACCAGTAACAACCACCTTTAACTTTTTTGGCTAGCTTATGATGATGATTGTTGGTAAATAATTCAGGTAACTAATTTTTTGGGTATAGTGAAAATTAAAGACCCAATTTATTCCCATTTCTAACTTAAAATCAGAGAACACACAAGACCCTAACAGAAACATGAGTTGCTGATAAATTTGGTTAGTTGCTTTGGTCATAAAATCATTATGCATTCAAGTTTCTTTACAATTTCATTTTGATGAACCCATAAATACTCTTCTAGTATTTTGGTCAACACTCTCCAAACTTTGACTCTCTCTTCTCAATTTAGTGCTATCAAAGTGACAAAACATGTGTTCATCTTTCACATTTTGCCTTTAAAGAAGTAACCATAGAGATATACTATAACATAAATCCAACTTTTTTCTATTAAACTGAGAATTCTGTTTTGTTTTCCTTTTCTTTCTTCCTATAGGAACATACATTATAAGAATGTAAGTGATATTCATTAGATTCAGATTCAGACCCATGAGTTTCCGATTATTACCCTATTTTATTGCCAAGTAACTTGAGTTGGTGCATTTGTGGTCGTGGCATGAACCTCTGCCAAAGACACAGCCATAGCCATCATCATCTGCTCTTCGAAACTCTCTGGAACAATCACCA